GATGAGTCATGATTAAAGTTAGAATGATTGTTTATGCATTTTCCTTTTCACTGAAAATTTTTAAAAATGATGATGTGATTTTTGTTGGAGCATGGACCAAACAAACATGTTCCCTTAGGTTGGCTCATCTCTGTAGCACCTTATGGTGCACTTACTGTACGGTGCTAACAATGCACAACAATGTATTTATCAAAAATGGTAGCTCCAGCGATTTGGATATTGCGATTTCGATTATATTTTGATTAATTGTGCAGCCATAGGTCAAACTCATATAGGCCCATGGGGGTTGTGAATCTTCCAGCAGTCATCAGGGTTAACAGGCACCTCAAGAATCAAGAGTGGAAAATACTTGGTCTGGAACAACATGGTCAAGTATCACTCTTGGTAGTGGGAAAGCATCTTTGACACGGCCAACACTTTCACCAAGTAGGTCCTCTGATTGACTCAGCATCAACTGTCACAGTGTTTGGTAGCGTTGAAGTTAGATGGTATTTTTGAACCTGAGTGGAATAAGTCCATCAACAGTCACAACTGCCTGTGCAACCAGGAAAAGAGCAGCTTTGTCCTGCAGTGAGACCCAGGAAGCAGAGGGCAAGAGAGTGAAGTTGGTTAGTATCAACAGGCATCAACAAGTGTTTGGACTCTTGTTAAAAAGACTCAAATGTCAGTGAGTGCTATGCCATTTCTGGGTGATGTTTTTCGGTACATAACAAACATGAACTTAAAATAGTTCAGTACACTTCATTTTCCAAAACGTAAACAAACATAGCCCTAAAAAAAAGGGGGCTCATGTAGTAGCCCACAGTGAAACTGACTTAATCCATGTCAACATATTTCCTGTTTCCATCCATCCATCCATTTTCTACCGCTTATCCTCTAGTAGGGTCGCGGGGGGGCTGGAGCCTATCCCAGCATCCTTTCGGGCGAGAGGCGGGGTACACCCTGGACAGGTCGCCAGTCCATCGCAGGGCACACAGAGACAAACAACCATTCACTCTCACATTCATACCTATGGTCAATTTGGAGTAACCAATCAGCCTAGTCCCCATTTGCATGTCTTTGGACTGTGGGAGGAAGCCGGAGTACCCGGAGAGAACCCACACAAGCACGGGGAGAACATGCAAACTCCACACAGAAAGACCCCGCGACCGAGCCGGGACTCGAACCCGGAACCTTCTTGCTGTGAGGCGACAGCGCTAACCACTGCCTACCTTGCCGCCCCCATATTTCCTGTTTCTTGTAAAAATTTAGTTTCTATCTGTTCATATCGATAAAGACTCAACTTTTAATGTAACATTATCTAAAGGATTTGCTAACACTGGATGTTGCCTAACAAATGATTATTTGGTGTGGGACATCTGTGTTTTTTATTTTGCTGTATTTAAAGCAGATTTGTTGAGTGAAGTTATGTTGCTTAATGTTTCTAATATGGTTCGTAAAGACTATATTCTCTGAACCTTTGGACGAGTTACTTGATCGATCTTATGGTAGCTCACGTGCAACATGTTGGAGACCCCTGATTTACATGGTGGCTGCAGTATTGGGTGTGGCAGTGCCAGACAGTATGTGTGCTGTCCTGAGTGTGGAGACAAGAGGGTTAAGTCTTCACAACATGACAGGTACAGCAGAAGAAGAGGATCCCTCTGCACTTAAAATAATACCAATGCATTTTGCCTCTTGCCATTAAATGCATCACAATCCTTAATCCACCTATGTATTCTCCACAGTTGAATACATTGAAGCTGCTTACTGATCTACTGGAAATCACAAGCCTCCACTGACTGAAAGAAATCCATTAAAACAGGCTGTTGAGATTTACCCCGGAGCTGAACAATAACAGTGACAGGGGAAATAATCAGTGTGTTTTCTCTCTCTTTGTGTGATGGAGTGGCCTGGGGGCCCCCCATATAAAATTTTGCATTTGGGCCACTGACAGTTATGTTCCACCCCTGCTGTGAAGGTTTTTATGCCTCTGCGCTGGCGACAGGCAGAGCCAGAGGTGTATTGTTTTTGGGTTGTCTGTCCGTCCATCCCTTTCTCGTGGACACATCTCAGTAACGCCATGAAGGAATTTCTTTACATCTGGCACAAAAATTCACATGGATTCAAGGATGAACTGATTAGATTTTAATGGCTAAAGGTCAAAGATCAAGGTCGTGGTGACCTCAGAAAACATATATTTTGGCCTTGTCAACCAATATCTCGAGAATCCTCAATGGAATCCCTTCAAATTTGGTACAAATGTTCACTTGGACTCTGGGACAAACTGATTAGATTTTGGTGGTCAAAGATCAAAGGTCCAGATAAGAGAAAATAAATAAAATCAATTAATAAATTACATGAACACAAAGACACATGTGGATATACCAATATACTGTACTGTATGGTGTAAAGACTGGACACACAAGGGACCCAAAGTCATGACTCAATTACACGATTAGTAAACAATGAATTTCACTAAAGCTTAAACAGGATACAGAGTTTAGACTTACTGTTATTTATCAATAGAAAAACAACATAAAGTGTACCTTATCAAATCTTCCATTCGTCATATAGACAGTTGACAAATTAAAAGTGACACCTGAATAAATGAGTAGCGAAACATATTAAAACAAATGTCTCCACAGTGCAGAGGAGATGGTTTGATGAGGATGAAAATAATCATGAAATCATATGTTATGATCTTCACAATCATCATATCTCAACCTGACTGAACACCGACACTACAGTGGATGTTGGAGTGATGTGTTGGATGGCCTTTAGTTGTTAAATTGAGCCCTTGAGTTCCTCACCCATCCATAGAAAACAGTCTAGTTAGATATTTTCATGGGCACCACCTTATAGCTCATATGTGGAGAGAGTTTCTACTAAAATATCTGGTTCCAGCTCCAGCCATCCATATCTTATTGGCCTCCTAAAACCCATCCATCCGGTGTGTGTGTGTCCAGGGCCAGGTTGTGGCTGTCCAGACAACCTTCTCAAATGCAACCAAGAAATGCATCCTCCTTTTCCTAGGCGTGGCCCAACCTATCCCAAGATTCATTCGTCGGTAATGAAAGCAAACAACACCAACAGAGAGCCTGAGGATTACACTGTTAAATGTAAGCATTGGGTTTCAGCTCAGTTCAACAGCTAATAGTGTACTTCTAAAAACCAAGGGCCTTGTGAAAAAATTAATGTGTTGTCAAGGTTTCTAGGCAGAAGGACGTTTTGACGCAACAGTTAAGGGCAGGCAAAGCTGGTGACGCACAGTGAAAATCTTCCGTGGAACGGACCGTCTCATTTCCTCATTTCGGTTCGGCCTTTGTGGTCTACAACGGCTACGAATGGCCACACTATCATAGACCGGACACATTGGGACACAGCTATATTCTCTCCAGTGTGCTCTGGGTGTACCCTGGGGTCTCCTACCAGTTGGATGGATGTTCCCTGAAAACCTACTAGAGAAGAAACCCAGGAGGATCCTGATCAGATGCCTGAACCAGCTTCTTTTGACACGAAGGAGCAGCACCTCGACTCTGATCTCCCTCCAGATGTCTGAGTCCAGACATTTCAGCTGCTTGTCTCCACAGTCTCATTCTCTCAGTCACTACCCAGAGCTCATGACCAGAGCTGAGGGTTAGAACCTGGATCAACTGGTGACATTGGGGACATTGCCCCCCCCCACAAACTGGACCTTCTTCTAACCCTGGCAGCACCTTGACAACCTGTCCATGAAAATCACAGACGCAGACTGGTGGAGACTCATTAAGGTTATGTATGGACACACCCCACCCCCCACAAAACTCTTTGATGGACAAGGTCGTAAGCCTTCACCAAGTCAACAAAACACATGTAGCCTATATGGCCAAACTCTCATGGTGACCCTGAAAGCTGCACTATTCCAGGACCAGGATGGAATCTGGATCACTGCTCCTGGATCTGAGGTTACCCAGTCACCCTGACCTCCATGTAACATTAAAGAGGCGTTTCAGCTAAAACAGCCAAACAATGTCAACATCTAATGACTTAAGTGTCTTGCTGAAGCTAAGATAAGAGCTGTTGTCTGAACCAGAGGTTCTCTGTGGAACCATGACCGGGGCTAATATCTACTGACTATGAAACTGGGAGGAGGACAGCACTGGTGTCAGACTGACGATACTGGCTGATACCCCAGGTCAGGGTACTGGAATCTGTTTCTGAGAGGAAACAGCTGGGTCCTGCATCACTGTGTTTCTACCAGTGATCCACTGCTGAACAGTTGCTTATTGTTTGCTATCATGCCATCAGCCACGCTTAAAGGGCCAGTCTCACACAGTGTGAGCAGACACATGATAAAAGCCTGCACCCTAAATGGTTTTCATAGAGCAGCTTTGACTCGGATGGGAGATTTAATCTGCTTTAAGCCTCCACATCTGACTGTGTGAGGCAGCCTATAGATTATCTTGATGCCCTCCATTTAAAACGGTATAGTTGTGGTGCGTTCACGGACTCTCTGACACTGTGTGTGTTTTCATAAGTGACAGAAAAAAACTATGTTTACTGTTCTGGGGCCGGTGGCGATGAGACAGGGAAGAGGGAGGGTGACGTAGAGAGGTGGGAGGGCGCCCAGAGACCTCTTCTGCTCGCGCCTCCTCGGGATGCGCTCGCGACGTACACCAATCAGAGAGAGAGAGGGAGAGGAGAGAGGGAGAGAGAGAGAGAGAGAGAGAGAGACGCAGCTCCCCTCAGCAGTAATTCATGTTCGTCAGTATCAGGGAGAAGTTGTCCTCTCGGTCTCCTCTCCTGCTGTTGCAGCTCTCTCTCTCTCTCTCTCTCTCTCTCTCTCTCTCTCTCACACACACACACACACACACACACACACACACACTGACGCACACACACACACACACACACACACACACACATACACACACACACACACACACACACACACCCACAGAGGATCGGTTATGTGATGGGTGTTGGAGCGGAGCCCGGGAGAGCTTTCCTTCGCCAGGGAAGCGGGGTGATGATGAGGAGCAGGTTCCTGCCGCTGACCGGGAAGTTCGCTCTCTACTTCAAGACGACGCTCAGCGGGGAATAAAGGACCCACCGGAGGGAAGACCCACCGGAGGAGCCAGCGGAGGATTAAAATTGCTATTTGACGCGGGCTGTTTTCTGTTTTCTTTTACATTGAGGCTATTGCAACCGCTCTGGGTTCTGGTCTCTGATTGTGGTTTTGATGATGCTCCAGCTCACCTTCGGGTTGCTGCCTGACTGATGCGGAGGCTGCCTCCGGACCGCGGCTCCTCTCTGCACATATTTGGAGTTATTTGACCGTCGGGTAAACATCACATCCAGGTCAAATGACCGTCTGCTGTCCGAGCCGAGTGTGACGAGCCTCACTGTGACATGGAGACACCGGGACTCTGCGGCTTCCTCTATTACTGCTCTCTCTGTGTGTTCTGTGCAAATGGTAAGTGGACGGAGAGGAGGCGGGAGGGAGTTTACATGACACCTGTCCCCTGGTAGTGTTGAAATGAAGCCTGTGTATTTTATTCTGGAGGATTGTAACAGTGGAAAACACTGAAAAAACACACACATAATGACCCAGTTGTGCCCACGTCACAGCATCAGGACCAGGATGGAGTTCCATTATTTGATCAAATCAGCCCTGAGGCACATTGTAGGTCACAGGTGCTCCATTAAAACCACTTCAGTCTGTAAATCACAGTTAATGTGGTCCACAGGAGGTGGAGGTCTGCATGAGGGCCACCTTAGGTGTAGGCTGATGGAGGGTGTAGAAACAGTTTCATGTAGCCATCCTGCTCATTAATCTGTGCTTCTGCTGCCTGTTCCCCTCCATATACACCAAAGCTGCATTTACTGAGGTCCCTAAAGATGTGAGTGTGGGGGAGGGAGAGGATGTGGAGATGCCCTGCGCCTTCAAAGCTGTCAGCTCGGCGCCCATGTCTCTGGAGATCCAGTGGTGGTACCTGAAGGAGGACATGCCTAAGGATGTGCCCCATGAGCTGCAGATCAGCGCCCCGGCCAACAGAGCCAAGGTACCTGCACCGTTAGAACAGAACAGAGCAGCGTGTGTTGTTCAGTTATATAGCCTGCACACACTGACTGTTCCTGCACACCTGAGCCACTACATCTTTAAAGCACATTCAGTTAGTTAGGAGCTGAAAATCTGATTCTATGATGTCAGAGATGTCAGCTGCACTTGTAAACCTGCCAGAGATCAACATTTGCACACTCTGCATGTCCCCACTCTGCTCTGGTCTGTTTCTAAATCCACAGACTGCAAATATCTGAGCTGAGCCTGGTGCAGAGAGAATCTCTGAGCCTCAGCAGGTTCACTTCCTCTGCATGTTAAAACAAATAATCACCAGTGTTTGAAGCACTTTCTTCTCTAATCTATAAGTCCATACGTCACATCCTGCACTTTATCAGTTTATCCTCACTGCATCATGTGTTTGTGACCTTGTCTGCACTGTTTGTTTGTCTGTACAATCAGGCCAGAGCATGGAGTGAGCATGTGCATTAGCCAGGATGGGGGGGCTACGGGTGTCACTCAGAATGCAGAGAGGGCACTTGTTGGTTATCAACACCATTACATTCCTCTCAGGTCTACTGCCTAAAAACCGCCATGATGGGAGAGTGAGGCAGGAAGCAGAGGGAATGACAGATCAGCCAGAGTTTTCTTCGGTGGTGTGAGGAGTCACAGTCACGTCTGTGGTTTACACACAGTCAGACAGGGAGAGAGAGAGAGGGACAGGGAGGGAGCTAGAGAGAGAGGGAGGTTATCAATGGCGTCTTTCAGAGATGTACACCTCCAACTCTGCTCGTGCTGCTTGCTCTCTCCACCACATGAAATGAAGAATGTTGTGTTGTTGTCGTTGTGTGTGTGTGTGTGTGTGTGTGTGTGTGTGTGTGTGTGTGTGTTAGTGATACAACAGCCACTGTTGTGTTAATGGATGAACATGTGATTCCTCTTTTCAGGTTGCTCCGAGGGAAGCCACAAAAATAAGTGTAAGTGTCCATTTTGTTGTCTGTTGATGTGAGCCGTGCACGTCCTCATGATTAAGGCAAAAATCATAATCAGCGTTATTTTGATCAATCCTGAGATCATGATTATTTAACAGGATTACTCACCACACATTTATTGAACTTAAAAAAAAACTCTGTCTTTTTAACAATGGACTTTCTTGAACTTTAAATACAATTTAACTGAAAAACAAATAAAAAAATAAATAGAAAATATTAAATAAATAAAAAATAAATGTCTAAATATATACAATTAATTATATAGTATAAAAAATAATGAAAACATATAAGATCAGCTAAAACACATCAACCCTGGCAGCAGCTTGTTGATAGTAAAGCTAATATCAAGCACTCTCAAAAAAGAAAAAACATCGAATAAAAAAACAGATTTGCTGCGAAACAGAATGTGGCACAATAATAATAATAGTTTCAGCTCGATTATCTTGTTTTCATAATCGTTGGAAGCCAAAATCGTAATCAAAAATAAAATTTGATTAATTGTCATGATCTAACTGTGATCCAGGAGTTTTATGATGAGCTGGTGGAGACTGAACCAGTGTGTGTGACTCTCACCAGTCTGGATAAGAAGGTTTTTGCTGCTCAGTGTTTTAACTGGAAATAAACTTAGACTCATTACTGATCCTTTTTAAACATTTATACACATTCGTTATTTAAAACATCCCTGATCACTTTTCTTTAGCCCTCCGTTGTTAGTTCATCATGTCTTCACACCTTTGAAGGAGCGTGTGTGTTCAACACCCTGTGTGAGACTGAACTTTGATAATATGATGAATCTGTGCTGTTACAGCTGCCCTCATTATGGATAATTGAGCTCTGTAGGAGCTAATGTGTTGGTCTGCTGAGCAGCTAATACTGGAGCATGAGTTGGTGCTTTTCTGACGCTGGTGCCTCCACTTCCACCTCCGCTCATAAAACACACAGCTCCCCTTATTAAGCCGGTGATGAATGCATCCTAAAACTGACCGCTGCTGAAGTGTTACGTTCTCTGTGTGTCAGTGTTTCCTCTTCTCTCTCCACCCAGACTGTGCGTGTGCAGGGCAACGCCATCTCCCACCGCCTCAGTCTGTCCAAGGTGAAGAAGGAAGACGAGGGGGTGTACGAGTGCCGTGTGTCTGACCTGTGGGCCGACGAGACTCAGGAATTTACGGTCCACGCCGCGCTGCGCGTCATGCCAGGTGACGGCATGGTGGCAGAGGAGGCCGTGTCGCACATCCAGAACCGCTGGCCGCTGAGGAACGCCAACACGGCCCTGGGGGCGGGTGCGGCAGGGAGGGCCACCTCAGAGCCCAGCCAGGACCTGGCGGGAGGTCCGAGGCTAGGGCAGGGGAAGCAGCGGGTGCATCAGCCCGGACTCCTCCCCTCCATCTCCTCCACCACCACCACCTCGGTGGCCAAGTCGTCGGCCTCGCCACTGCCAGGGAACGCAGCCATCCTCCGCCAGCAGCACGGAGCGGGTGAGTGAGTGGGGGGTGGGGGGTGTGTGTTTGTGTGGGGGTGAGGTGTGTGTGTGTGTGTGTGTGTGTGTGTGTGAGTTACGACAATCCGGTTGATGCATCTCTCCTGGAGTCCGTCCTCAGAAATAAGGGACAGACACACAGAGCACAGAGAACACATTTAAGTTATGTGTAACATTAGCTGTGCATGACAGCTTGTTATATTATCACTTATCATAAAAAACGACATCTGGTGAAATAACATTTTTCCTTGTCTGTAAACTCTGTAGATTTGGTGTTAGCTCTGTGTGACATCATGAATCCTCCCACATTCATCCACACATTCACACTGTGTATATCCTCTGAGTGTATGAGCTCATCTTCCACACCTCTGTCACACTTCTAAACCTCTTTCAATCAGGCGGCATTTAGCCTGACTCCTGTGTGAATGTGTAACATCTATTATGACGACTTCTGCCAGAGGCTCGGCAGATGGTAGGGGAGGGGTGGGAGCAAGAGGGGTTGGAGGGTTGTAATCTACCTCCCCATTGCTCTTCTCCTGCCCCAGTTCCTTTCAATGAAGTGAACTTGTGAATGGTGGTCGACTGATTTTTATGTTGTTGTTTTAATCTGTACTTCATGACATAACATATGATTAATGTGAGGCATTGTTGGGTTTAGATCAGAAACATGTTGACCTTGAGAGGAGACGCTGGTGACAGAGGAGATTCAGGTCAACGTTCACATCAGGGTGCAGAGTTAACGTACAGGGCTCAAACTTTTTCACCTTCACTAAACTGTCCTGAGGCTTGTTTTTGTTTGTCTGATTGTGTCTGCTGAAGCTGATTACCTCACAATGCCAGAGATCAATTAATCAGCCAACAGGTTAATTGATCAACCGCTGCCTGTGAATAATTAAAACTCATCAAAGTCTAGTGGCTGGTCAGGTGTGCTGCTGATATAGAGAGAGGTCAGTCAGCTGGTGGACTGAGACATGCAAAGACCATGTGCTGATATGAAGTGTGTCTGCGATTCGTTGACCTTTCTTCCACATGCTGGTGTTGTGTTGCTACAGTAACAGTGGTGTCAAAAGTCGTACGGATGTTGGAGATATTACAGTTGATCTCTTTTAAAGGCCTGAAGTCACAGCTCTGATCAGTCCGTCAGAGGCTCCTCACAGGGATGTGGCTGTGTCACCTTTTATTAGACTGTGTGTGTGTTTGTGTGTGTGGTGAATAAATATTAGTCATAGACTTGGGCACTGCCTACCCGGCCCACTGCTGAAATCATCCAGATATATCAGCAACTTTATATTTGTGACAGATTCATCACACTTATATAAACATGCTCCTGATCTTTTCCAGCTGTTTTTATATAATTATGACAGTTACCAGCCAGAACATCGGACTTTGTCTTCATTTGCAAAAGTATCAATGATGATCACATAAGAAGATCTGCCTCTGTTAAATATATACAGTATAATATGTATATAAGTAAGTAATGTGTGCTTCAGTAACTGCAGACACGTGGAAACAGTGTTCAGTTTAATCAGGACAGGTACTAATAACACAGCTGCTCTGCAGACAGCTGCATCTGCTCCGGGCTTTGCAGGTCTAATGAGGGAAGCCCTGTGGTGGAGTCCAGACACATGTTGGTGCAGTGAAATGAAAAATACAGGATCTGACCACAGGAACAGTCTGTGTTGGTTCAAACAGACCCACCCAGCAGACTGGCCACCAGCAGACCGACCTCTGACCGGGCCAGATACACACCAAAACCAGACCTGTCTATCTTTGGACTCAGTCCTCCTCCCTCTGTCTGTGTAGTCTTCAGTAAGCCCCAAACCAGAGACAAACCAACGATTAACAAAGAAGTTGTGAGGTCATGTGTCCACTGTTCATTTATGTAACCTACATCTGGTGGTTATGTTGTGGATGATTACTGATGCAGCACATAAAACCTCACAGTCAGAGGCTCCACATCCATCACTGGTCTCTGTCAGGCCTGACTGTTAATGCCTCTGATTGTTTCAGAGAGTCACATGGGTCCATGTTTTAGTTTTAAGTGTAGTATATTAGTCAGTATGGACCAACCTATTTCCCAGCAGACACTTCTGTCAAAACATGAACCCTCATGCTCCTGTGCTGTGATTTGATTCGTGGTTAGAGACATTTGTTGGGAATGTTCTTAGCAGGGAAATGTCAAAAAAGCCATGTTTAAAGAGCCAATCTCCTGCTCTATGAGCCTCCAGCCTGTTCCAGTCTCTGCTAACCTGCTGGCTACTCCTGAATCAGCTAGCTTCAGGCCTGTTAGCCACCAGCCTGCTTCCAAGGACACTAGCTTTCAGCCTGCTAACTTACTGCATTCAAGACAGTTAGCTAATGGAGACCCTAGAAGGAAACATGGGTCTCGGAGGCGTTGACCCCCCAAGCGGCCCCAGTACCACAGAGATTTAGCTGGCCAGTGCTGTGATCAACGCCCACACAGGCCTAAGATCAGACCCTCAGTTTGCTCTCTTGACCGACGTTTCGCCTGTTCCTGAGTCTGTTCCTGAGTTTTCCGTCCTGGCCTGTCTGTTCTTGCATCGGTGGTTGCAGCCTATGTTTTATCTGTTCTTGAGCTGCTTCTTCCATCAGGGGTCCTAGCCGACGTCACGACATCAAGTCTTCTCCAGATATCCAGTCGGCAGCCCAGCCAACACCAGTTCCTGATCTACAGTCACCACCTCCTGATCTCTCGGCGGCAACCTGGCTGATCACTGCTCCTGATCTCCAGTCAGCTGAAACCCAGCCTAATCTCAGGCTGCCTGCCACCTGCCCTGCACCCTCTCCCGACCTGCGGCTAAATCTCCTGGTGTCAGCCACCTTTCTGGACCTCCAGCATCGTTGCCAGCCTCCAGAATGATATATATGATTTATATATATATATATATAAATATATTTTTACCGTAAAAAAAGAAATACGAGGGGTCCGTGACCGACTGGAAACACAAGCAGAACCAAAGTTAAGCTTGTGTTTCCAGTCGGACACTGACCTCCCAGACCAAACCTACTGCCGGAGAACATTACTGTCTAATACTTTCACATTCATGTAGGTAAATAGCCAACAATGGAAAGCAAGTGCAATTTCAAATGCATTTATTGAACAACAGGCACTTTATGGACTTGTGTACTGTATTGCTTAACACATAACTCTTAATCAACAACCTAAATCATAAATTCAAAGTTAAAATAAATATGTTTTGATAGAATAAATAATAAATTAAACTTAAATTACAGCATTTTAAGCCTGCAGTTTCCCTTGGAAAAAAAACAAAATAACATTACACGATGGTGAGCTGTGAATAATAAGTTCAATTAATGATGATGATAATAAAAATAGGTTAAGTTAACAAACTAGTACTAGCAACAACGTTAAGTAACTGTCCATACCTTAGGCCTTTTTAGTAGACATGAAGTGGATTCATTTACTTATTGTTGTTTAAAAGAAAAGCATATCCACATGTTCAAGTGAGAGCTGAGTGCGGAGGCGATTTAAAATTAGTCCCGCTGTTGAGAATACTCTTTCGGCTGGTATCGTGTGCGAGTAGTGAAACGCTACTCGAATAATGACGTCAACAACTAGTACTCTCAAGTACTCGTACCCATCCCTATTTCTCATTGCCCAGTCCTTGGGCTGTTCCCTTTATATCCTCAGCTCCATTCTTCAACTCCCTGTCCACTTGAGCCAGCCTTCAGCAGGCTGCAAACATGGTGTTAAAACATGAAGATCTATTTACAGTGAAAGTGATTCATGGACCAGACGCTTGTGATTTATCTTCACAAAGTTACATTTTACTGCTGCTACCAGTCAGAGTGGTTTTAGTGATTTACAGATGAAAAGTCATCAAACTAAATAGCAGCTTGTAATTTGTATTTCATTGACTTTATATTCAGCATGTTACAGGTTCACACATTACAGTGTTATTGAGTTTAGCCCACTGCAGCAGTAGCTTGTTTAGCCTGACTGCAACAAGAAGTCACATTAAGTCACACGTGTAAAATATAATATTTAAAATATTAAAAATTGTTACAACTAAAAGTCAAAGAGCCACAGCCTGAATGTATCTACCAGTTATCATTCAAGTAGCATTTAAGTAGAAAGTGCAGCACAGAGCTGTGTGGTGTTTAAATAAAGATGGGACAAGTATTTCCAGGAGACGATGAAAAGCACCAACTAATTTAGAGGCAGACAAGATGGAATGATTATACTCAGAATGAGCATGACCAACTGAAAACCTCTGACTGTATATGAGTATCCAGGTTACACATGGTCCTTCTCTGCAGATTAACAGTTTGTTAGCAGTCAAATGAAAGAGGAAGCAGAGAACATGTGGAGTATAAACAGTAGATCACAGGGATGAGCTGTCAGACTACTGAGGTCTGAATAAGCAGCTCTGCTTCCTCTCTGCTCCCCCCACTTTGCCCCCCAGTCGTTGCCTCCTGGTTTGATGAGTTCACTGAAGCATGTTACAGCCTCCACAGTTTAGCTGCTTCATGTTTAAATCTGTTTTAATTTTAGCTCAATTAATAACACAACCCGTGTTCAGAGTCTCACTTTAATCCATCTGATGAAGCAGTTAACGAAGGATCATCCATGGGCTCTGTCTCACAATGGCCCTCAACATGTTGGTTGGATTAAAATGCTTCACTGTAATCATAAAAAAATTGACACTGTTCATTTCAGCTGACTACAGAGCGAACAGAGCACTACGCTGGCTTCACACCAACTCCCAGATGAAATGACTGAGTCCACTCTGTATTTGCCCCAAGCTTCTTTTTATTGACTTTGCAAATCATGAACAGACTTAGTGGGTTTTCTTATCACCAATGAATAAATATACTGTGGAATTAGAAAGTTTAGACCTAACAAATCTAAGGGATAAATCTTAACTTAATCTTAACCAGCTGTTGCTGTACGTGTAGAAAGAAATATTTAAAAATGTATATCCTCTCAAAATTAATAATGGCAGATTATTCAAC